AAATATAGTTCCAAGATGTAATCAAGCAGGTATCCCATTCTTCATTGTCTTTCTTAGAAAATATCATTTTAGATGTACTTTCATTGGTGCTGAATGTAGTGAGACAGTAGCCTCTAGTAATTTAAGTACCATTCACAAAAGATTTTACTTGCCTTTTTATCAAAATAGGAGTGCATGGGTTTAATTTTATCCAGGATCCAAAATCTGTCTTGTATTGGGAATGTTTTGGTGCTTTGGGACTTCTGCATGAAAAATACTATTCACACCTTCGATGCTATAGTGAGAAGAACTCTTTATCCTGGTTCATGCTTTGTTTTGAGGGTAGTAATTTCAACTAAGTGAGAACATGGGAATGAGACAATTCTCAGAGACCAAGACATTTAATTTGAGTTTAGACTTAATTTCCTTGTTATATTTATCATTACATAAATCAGCACGACTGCTAATCCCTGATTAGAAAAGTCTGGGATAATTTGGAGGGGATTGCAGATCAGGATTCAGGTGCATTAGCACTGCTACATAGTAGAAGCTTTCAGGAAATCTGAATAATATATAACTAAACCTCTCCCAAAATATTAAGAAAAGCTTGAATATATAGGTTTAGAAGGGAGTATGAGACTAAAATTGGGTTCTGTTGGTGCTTGCTTGTGAATCGATTAATATATCCTGTTTGTGGTTATAAATTTCTTCTGAATTGCCACAGGGTAGAAATTTATATGTGAAAATTAATTACAAACAGTGGGTAATCTTACAACTAAAGTATTATTTACATGCAATAACAATTTGGTGAAGTTGTTTGGAGATGATACTTTACAGTGCCTTAAAATTTGAAGCCACAGCTATTTCAAATCTATACTAGAAAGCCGATACTTAACATTAGACAACCTGTGAAGTTTGTTTTTTTTAAAAAACAAGTTGAATTATAACACCAATTTTTCTCTAAAATGTCTGAGTTTAATTGTAATAATTGTTTTCAGAACAAATCCTTTCACTTGGACAAAGACAATTATCGGTGTTTGATTTTTTTTTTTCTGTTAAGAAATAAAGCCCTGAACAAGAATTTATAATGAAAATGTTGACATAACTTTAATTATAGTGGTACTCGCAGGCACCATCAAAAATATTTTTCATCCCTAATCTCATTACTGTACCCTGAATCACATGAGACAATTATAGGCCCTTAAGTCTAATCTATCCTTGTGTCTTGTTAGCACTGTCTTTTTTCCTTAACAGCCTCTCTTAATTCTGTATTTGTAGCAAAAGTTTAGACTTTTAAAATTATAGCATGCTCCAATTTGCTAATGCTCAAGGTAAATAAAAATTGTTATTTACAATGCTCCACACTTGTTGGGAATCTCCTCCCTCCGCTTTACTTGCTGGGAACACCGATGCATTCACCTCTTTGTTCTGTTTGAGCTCTTTCCTATCCTTCAGGATCACACATTATAATAACTTTCCTTCTGGTCAAAGAGTATTTGAGGAAGTAGAGGTATGTTCTTCAGAACCCATTGATAGCTCTTTAATGTCATCAGGTGTTGAGATGAGAGAGGTAGTCAAATGTCAGTTTCTGATTCTGCTGTCCTGGTGGAGAGTAAGCAATTGAAGGGGAGCATTCTTGATAGTTCGACATTCTAACTAAAAGAACTGGTCCTCTGCTTTGTGTTGAGAATAAGTTTGATCTGTCTCAACTTCCTCCATTCTACTACTTAGGTTGAACTAGGGATGTTAAATTTAGATTAATCAACTAATCAAATAGTCAATGGAATTTCCGTTGACTACTCGATTAGTCAATAAGGGCACCTCCGCCTTTGAAATGTAGTAAGGGCCCTACGGGGCTCTTGTACATTTCAAAAGCAGCTTGAGTCCCCCACTGGTCCTGTGCTCCCTGCCGCGCTTCTACTTCTGAAATGTAGCAAGAGACCCACTCTTGCTCCATTTCAAAGGCAGAACCGCCACCAGTTTCCCACTGTGCCCCTACCTCACCGCTGCTGATAGAGGCAGCAAGGGAGGAGAGCAACTAGTTGAGTCATGAGTCAACTATGCAATAAGCAAATGCTTATATCGCTAGGTTGAACCTCCGTAAACCGGGAGTCTCTGGTCTGGCAACATCAGTGGTCCGATAGGACCATGGATGTTCCAGGACCAGAGAGTCCTGGTGGAGGGCTGGTGCTTCGGAGACCTGCGGACAGGCTGGACTGTGGGATGCTGGCAGCAAGCTGCCAATGGGGCCAGGCGCCTAGATCCCATCAGCTGAGCAGCCAGGTGCGCCCCAGTGGGTCTGTCTGGCAGGGCTGGGAGCCTGGTGCACCACAGTGGGGCTGCTCAACTAGGCTGCCTGGGACGCCATCTGGGTTGCCTGGAAGGGTTGGGACCCTGCCGCACTGCAGCTGTTGCACTAGAGCAGTGTTTCCCAAACCAGGCTTATTGTCAAACGAAGTACAGTAATAATGTGAGTAGGTTCTACCAGCCACTATGCCTGTGTTCACCCAGACAATGGATCCGCTGAGCCAGTAGAAGGTCCAACTGCCCCCTAGGCCAGACAAAGACAGCCCATCCAAGACATAACTTTATATACGGGTATAAACAAGTAACACATCCCTCCTGACATGTCAGGTTGCCATCCTCTGATGTTACTTAGGTACCACCCGTCACCCTGCACCTGGTGATTCAATCAAAACATCTTTATCCATCATGCTGTGATTTTTAGATCCTTTTCTGAACCTGGGTCGATATGTCCCTATTATTTGTGGGGAGTAGGGATGTAAAGGAGTAGTCGACTACTTGCACCCCTCCCCCTCAGCTGGCTTAAAAGCCAGTTCCTCCCAGCACCCTTTCTGCGGTGCTGCCCATTCCCCACCCCTCCTCCTTGCTGCTGCCTCTATCGTGGCAGCAGTCCCTATGCACAGCTGGTCCTGGGACTCCTGCGCACAGGGGCTGCTACTAGCTGGGCAGGCAGCCCGACTCAGTTCCAGCTCACACCGGCTTTTAAATTGCAGAACCGCAGTGGGGTTTGGTCTGGCACCCAGCATGAGCCAGAACTGAGCCGAGCTGCCTATCAACTAATCGGGTAATTGATAGAATTTTTATCATCCCTAGTGGTGAGTGTGGGGTACTAAGGTCCATTTTATTTACTTTCAACCTCTGCCTAGTACCTATTTCTATTTTACAGCCGATAGCTAGTACCATTTACTGTTCTTCACTATTAGGGGTGTTAGTGACTAAGCAAAAGCTTATCGGATAGTCGACCAACTAGTCACTCCTCCCCCATCCCTCCACTGCCTCTATCAGAAAGAGTCCCCATTGGGGCTCTTGTCTATTTCAAAGTGGAAGCGCTGCATGGGGACTCCCTGCTGACCCTGGGCTTCACACTACATTTCAATCTTTGAGATGCTGGGGCTCTTGTACATTTCAAAGGCAGAACACCACAGGGAACTTCGGCTTTTGAAATGTAGCAACAGCCAGGCAGGCTCTTGCTACATTTCAAAGCGGAAGCACCCTTATCGACTAATCAAATAGTCGATGGAAATTCCATTGACTATTCCATTAGTTTTTAATTTAATTTTAACATCTCTAGCACCTATTACCAATTCGCATTTTACACTATCAGTCCTGTTCGTGTGAGGTTCCATTAGTTCCTGCCTCTTGCTCGCAACTTTGCTATTATAAAGCATAGCTAAGTCCTGACCGTTGGTAGGTAGGTCTCAAGCCTCATATCAGGCCTGTGCCACATGGACTTTTGTTTCAGGCCTTCATCTTACTACACTTGTATCTGTATTAAAAAATCTGATTTAATAAGATTGTTGATTCTGGAGAGATTTATTGTTGCTTCTTGTCCTAGATGTTGTAAATATAGAACTATTAAAGGTGTTGGTAGTGTCAAACGTGTCAATTGTTGCAATTTTATGGTTTAGTTAACATCCTTTAAAGTAGGAAATTGTGTGTGTTTGGGTTTGGTGATGATGCTAGTGTTCTTCACCTTGGCTGATAGGCTTTAGATAGTCTTCGGGCTTATAGTTGACAGATTTTTTTAAAGCCTTTCAAGTGTGTTGAAAGCGTTTGTATGCCTGGTGGGTCAGAGTTCCAGTTTCTGGAATGTACAAACTGAATTGCCACATGCTCACATTGTTAACCAAATGTATGAACTGTTAAGGATAATAGGATATTTATGTACAATTATTTTAACTGCTGATTTAAAAAGTGATCTGAAAGGGGGGGGGGAATGTGGCATGTCATGTTTTGCTGTTTGTGGGTTCTTTTTAATTAAAAATTGAAGTCTTGTTCTTGAAAACTCTGAAAAATTAATGAAATGTCATTATAAGATAAAAGTACAAACAGGGCAGAGAGAGGGAAGGGAATAAGGTAAATTGTTTAAAACTTTTTGTTCTGTCCTTCTTAACATCTGTTTAACATCAGTGTCTAGCATTTTAGAGACGGAAGGGTTGTGTTTAAAGATACAGATTGGTACAAGTGTTGAACTGTTGAGAGCTAACAACTGAGACTCCCCCCACCAATGAGTCCTCTTGCAAAACCAGAGTTGACATTCCATAACTTCTCAGGTGGAAAAACTGGCAGAAACTTTGTAGAAAAAAATCTTGTGCATCATCAAGAAGCAAAACATAGGCACATTCTTTATTTTAAAAAGAAACCTTTTCAACTCTAAAACTTTTTATTTCAGCTACATAATGGGGTAAAGAAATTACTAGTGTGTTTGCTTCAGATTGCAGGCTTAAAAGTTAGGCTGTGGTGTGCTTTGTTAAAAATCTGAAACATGAAACAAGGTTAGATTTCCCATTTGGGGCAAATGCTGAAACCATCTGATTTTTCTCTCTGTTCAGAAAATTGTAATCAGTGTCTTCTGTTCGTTTTTCTGCCAAGCTTCTTAACTACAGTTCTTGTTGAACTGATCACAAAACAACAGTTTTGAAATTAGCTGTTTTCTAGTCTATTCATGGTCTCTTCGATTTATGTTTTTAATAGAATAATCCAATGTCTCTTTTCAGGTCCCTAGCTGTTGGCAGTAAGTCAGGTTACAAATTCTTCTCCCTTTCTTCTGTGGACAAACTGGAACAAATCTATGAATGCAGTAAGTGTCTTTTTCTCTTATGTTTGTACAGACTAAGCCAGGTCTAACTGTTTTCCTAAAGGCTCGGTTGTAAGTCATGTAGCTAAAGTTTTAATTGTGAAATATCACATGCACATGAAACAAACTGTTGGATGGTTAAGCGGTTTGCATTATATTGTAGCTTGCAGACATAGGTGGCATGCTGTGAAATCTGGTGCTAAATGATGTTTTCTGGCTGCCAAGTCAGTTACTGCGTAATGCAATGTGATGTACGTGGAGATGATCTTATGAGGTCTTAATTTTTTCTGGCCTTTAGGAAAGGTGACCATAGTTAGCATAGCCTTCATTCAATTTAATAAAAAACCCAGATTCCTAATTATGTCATTGCTATGTATCCCAGTGTCTTTGCTAAAGAGACAACTTGTAATAATAATTAAAAAAAGAACAGTTTAAGGTCTTGCTACTTGATAGCTTCTGCTTTCCTCACAATAACCCATGAAATGTCTGCAGCCTTCCTTTCCCCTTTTCTCCACCCATGTCCTACCCCAACTAACTGAAGCTGAATTGGATACTGTAAAATTGGTTATTTTCCAAGATCCACCCATTGGAGATGCCACTCATGCTAAACCCATTTTGTCCAACTTCTACACCGAGAAACCCCAAAATGTGTTTCTGCAGAGCTAGGCTACCTGTGCATAGGGTGTCATTAGTTGTAAGTAACATTACGATATTGTTACATGTGTTGCCAAGTAATTTCAATACTTTCTGAATAACTGAAGGGAAGATAATTATACATACACAATGGAAATATCTTGATTTATTCTTTACTTCTCTGTGGCAGGAATTCTATGCCCCATGGGCACAGGTCAAGTCAGGCTAGCTTACAGCAGCTCAGCAACCTCTCTTTTTCTTCTTCTTCTAAAAATGCAGCTAAAGCATGGAGTGCAGGATGAGTCTTTACTCATTATACTCATGAAGAAGGCTTTCAAAATGTGAACAGAGCATCAACTAATGCAGATGGTCTAACAAAGTGGTGGGCAATCTGCAGACTTTCAGAATACAGGTTGAACCTCTAAAATCCGGGATTCTCTGGTCTGGCAACATCCATTGCTGGACCAGAGAGCCCCGGCTGCCCAGTTTCAGATGTGCATCCCCAGCGGGGCTAGCATGGGGGGGAGCACAGCCTTGGCTAGGGCTGGTGGCAAGGAATGTGGCCCCAGGTGGGTCAAGAGGCAGTGGGGCCAGTGGCTAGGAGCACAACCCCACAGAGGCTGGCGAGGTGGGGAGTACAGCTCCACCTGAGACTAGTGTGGTGCAAAACACAAGCTCGGTCAGGGTTGGTGCAGTGGGGGAGCACAGTACCAGCTTAGCTGGGGGCAGCAGGGTTGGCAGTCAGGAGCGCAGTCCTGGCTGGGGCTGGTGACAGAGAGCACAGCCCTGGCCACAGTTGGAGGTAGCAGGGTTGTCCCCTGCCTAGGGCTGGCATGGTGGAGTGACACAGCCCCAGCCAGGGCTGGCTCGATGGGGGGCTGGCAGCAGCAGCAGCAGGGACCACAGCCCCAGCTGGGAGCAGAGCCCTACACCTGGGTAGGGTGCCTTGAACACCCTCCCTCTCCTCCCCTCCCCTCCCCCCATTGTCTGGCAAACTCTGTGGTTTGGGGCCACTCAGGTTCCGAGAGTGCTGAACAAGGGAGGTTCAACCTATACGAACATTTTTTCTTTCCCATGTTCTCTATAGGCAGTGATGTCAGCTGTTAACATTAACATCTAAATTAGCAATAGAGTTCAGCGGTAATATACCATTAAATCAAAGTTAATGCTTATTTTTTTTATTCCTGCACCTCCTAAAGGCAGCAGTGGGTTTTCCACTGTGGTAGGCACTGTACTACAAATACATGTAGATAGTCACTTTCTCAGAAGCTTACAATCTGAATAGGCAAGACAGACCAATGATGTGGGAAGCAGAAGCACAGAGATACGCTCCAGGTCACACAACAGATCCATGGCAGAACCGCCACAGAACCCAGATCCATGTCTGCCAACTCTGTGTGCTCTGGGCTGGAGCACCCAAGGGGAGGGCTAATAGTGGGTGTTCAGCACCTACTGACAGCCTCCCCAGGCATGGGAACAGGAAGAGGTGGGGCGGAGAATAACAGGGGCTTTGGGAATGGAATCGGGGGTAATGTAGGAGTCCAGCACCCTTCGGGAAATCACTAAGTCAGCAATCTGCCCACATCTCCTGACTCCTAGGTTAGTGCCCTATCCAGAGGACATGTCCATGATGCTTCCTGGGATCTGTTGGGATTGTTTCGGACCAGTGGCAGACAGCCTAGGCTAGATAGTGGACCACATGAGTGGCTCTCAGTAAGGGCCATTCATGCCATTCCTTTCAGTGAGAGGGAAAATATTCAATTATTTGGCAACAGTTTTAACAGATTGGTCATTTTACTTATACCTAATGACACGCTAAGCATAGGGTAACTTTGCAGAAACACATTTTAGGGTTTCACTTGGTGTGGAAGTTGGACAGAATCGGTGTTGACTCTTCTCCTATATGGTTGTGCCCATGCTGTGCTAGTTATATCCTCTATCAGTATTTCTTGTATTTTTCTACTGTAAAATTTAAGTGTACACTCACTAAGATCATTACGGCTGTGTCTATGCTAGAGACCTTTAAGTGGCACAGCTGTATTGCTGCAGCTGCATTGCGATAAGGACACCAGTGTAGCTGCTGTATGCTGATGGTAGAGAGCTTTCCCATCAGCATAAACCACCCCAACAAACAGTGGTAGCTTTGTTGGTGGGAGATGCTTTCCTGTTGACATAGTGCTGTCTATACCAGAGTTGTTAGTGTAACTTATGTCAGTCAGGGTGTGTTGGCTTTTTTTCACCCTCTTGACAAAAGTGCTAGTGTAGACGTAGCCTCAGCCAAGTACTCTACTCAAAATGTGCAGTGTGTTTCTGGTGGTTAAATGAGAGAAGCTGAGTCTTGTCTTTTCTCTTCTCTCCCCGCCCCCCCGCCTCCTCCCCCCACAGACTTGTGCTGTGACTTCACGTAAACCACATAACCTATACCAGTGGTCCCCAATGCAGTGGCGCCCGCTGGGGCATTTATGTGCGACCGCCTAGTGCGTCCCCACCCCGGGCGGTCTGGCAGCTCCGCGCAGCACCCACCACCCAAAAAGGTTGGGAATCACTGACCTATACAACTCTGTTCACCCCTCCGAATACCAGACATGTTAGGCTTAGTGAATGCTTGTAATATGCTTTGATGACCTTGGTCGAAAGATGTGGTAGAAATACAGATGAACCATCTAGGACTTTAATCTAATTGGTTCTTGTCTTAGATGTTACATGCTGCTAGTGACGATTCTATAATCCTACTATGGATTAGGGATGTTAAGCATCTGCTTATCAGATAGTCAACTAGTCCTTATCTGATAGTCAGTCAATTAGTCGATTCCCCCCCACCCCCCCTTTTCCCCTACCTGGGGTGGGGGCCAAGGTAGCACTTCAAAGGGGCAGTGCTGCACAGCTGAGCCCAGGATCAACTATGTGGCACTGCCCCTTTGAAACGCCTTGGCATTTGAAAGGGACAGCGCCGCACAGCTGAGCCTGGGATCAGCTGGGGACTCCCCAGCTGAGCCCGGGCTCCAGTGTGGCATTTCCGTGGAACCCGGGATCAGTGGAAAATCCACCGGGAGCTCCTGTACATTTCAAAGGAGGAATGTGAAAGTGCCTATTGACTAGTTGAATAGTCGATAGAAATTCCATCAATTACTCACCTAGTAAATTAACCGTTACTTAACATCTTTACTATGGATATCTTTTTTTCCTCACAATCTCCTCCTCTCTTCCCTGGCACCCCGCCAGTTGAACACATCCATTTACAGTACTGTTTTGTTTTTTTCCTATGTTTCTCAAACAGATTTTGTGGCACAGTAATTTGCTAATTTGTTTTTACAGTATTGGATTCAGAGTTTGTATCTGTGAAAATTTTGAACATCAAGCTAAAGTGCTTTGTATCCAATTTGTGTTCTGTGCCTATAATTTTCTAAGGTGAGAGAAAGTAGCAAAGACTAGATAAGGTTAAGAGGGTAGATGAGATTAACTGCTTCAGTACTGAGCAGCCAACCTAGTGTTCTAAAAATACTGCTTATTTAATTCAACCAGACATACCTTGTACTTTCCTATATAGCCTGACAATTATTTGACTGGATGTTTAGTAGCAAGCATCTGTGATTTGGCACCAGTGAATGGGTTCTATCAGTTGGGAAGAAAAATGCAAAGGAATATAAACTAGGGTCTGAGGTTCACTGAGTATGTTAAGTGCTTGGTTCCATTAAAGCCCATCATAAAATCTTCCTTTCTGTATAGATAACCATCTGTTCAGGATTCTGTCTCCAGTCTCTTAGCTCTCTACTGTGAGACTGAAGGAACTGCCTTAGCTCTTAAGGTGTTTGATCATTTGGGAGCACACAGCGTGGAGTATTGTCAGAGCTGGTCCCCTTAATGATTGTTGCATTTGCCAGGAGTTTAGGTCAATTCATTCTTGACCATGATCATTTACACTCCTTCCTGTAAGTCCCACATCAGTTCTGCGGAATGCCACTTCCCATGTGTAGCTTGGCCTCTGACAACACCATTGCTGCTGCTGTTTCAGAAGCTTTTCAGTCCCACTCCTAGGTCTGGCAGAGTGGCAGGTCCAGTTGGAACCTTCTTGGCACCTCTCATTCCCGGCCTTGTGTTGTCAGGGGAGAGTGGGTGGAAGGAGGAGCTGATTCTTTTTCACAATATGGGAGGAGGGAGCCATCCTGAGCAAGGAGGCGCTTTCTGCTCCTCCTTTCTTCCCTCTTGTAAAAATGGTGTATTTGCTGTAATTCACTCTGGAGTGACATGGCAATGCATCTGAGGAGTGTAACTTGTATTGTCGATTACTACTTGCACCAAATTGATCACAGTAAGTGGTGACCTGTGTATTTTAAAATCTAAATGCATCATTACCTCTTTGTTTTTGGAACTGTGATACCTTGGCATATTAAAATTATGTATTAATAAATTATCTGATTTTTTTTTTTTAAAAAAGGTGCCCATGGCATCAAGAAGGTTGAGATCCTCTGCTTTAAACCATGATTGTGAAAACTTAGCCCAAACACAAAAGCTATTTGCTCGTCGTTCTTATATTGACGAATTAATCAATGGTTCTTCTCTGTTTAAAAAAAGATACATGCACAGGCACACCAGTGCTTGGCTCGCTAAAGTGGATGAATAGAATTTTGCAAGTCTGCTTTAAGCAAACTATTTCAATTTTTCCTCATATTTTGAACAGAAGTTTGTTTCTGTGTAAACATGTTTAAGTGCCTTGTAACAGTTCAATAAGTTAAAATACTATTTCTGATGCTCTAATTTAATCAGAAATTCTAATTAAAACTGAAGGATTCTTCATCTTCATCACATTTAATAATGAAAAGTAGTTGGTACAGGTTGCACCTCCCAAATCCAGGATTCTCTTGTCCGGCAGTATCCTTGGTCTGTCATGAGCTCCAGGGTAAGAGCGCCAGCAGCTGGGAGCCTGGTGCAACACTGCAAGTTTGCTAGCAGCGAGGCCACAGCAGCCTGGGCAAAGCGTGATCAGGACTTTCTGCCACCTGGCAGTGAGGATGGGACTACAGCATCCCAAGAGGAGAAGCCTGGTACAGCCATGTCAGTCAGGAGGCAGCAATGCCAGCAGTAGCATGGCTAGGGCTGCCTGCTGCCCAACGGTGGGGTTGGGGCTACAGGCCACAGGAGCCCAGGAAAGGAAGCCAACCATGGCAGCCTGGCAAAATCAGCAGGGCTGGGACCACATGCTGCCCGGTAGTGGGGTTGAGGCTGCGGCAGCCTGATCAGGCAATGTGCCATTTGGCAGTGGGGCTGGAGCTGCCCAGCCAGCCACAGAGCCAACGCTGGGGCTGGCCCGCAGATAGCCCAGCTGGACTGAAGGAGCCAGCAGCGGGGAGGGAATTCCCTCATCCAGGATTGGCCATGTTCCCAGGATGCTGGACAAGAGAGGTCCAAACTGTATAAACTCTTTCAACAGCCTCTTTGGGTATTAAGACTTTTTCGTGTGTGTGTGTGTGTGTGTGTGTGTGTTAGTTACTCGGGAACCTCTTTAAATATGTCAGCAAATATTTTTCAGTTTTTACCTAGATAAACTTACTCATACTGAACAGGTATGGCATAGGTTGTGTTCATGTGCTAGACAGCTTGGACAAATAAGCAGTCTTTCAGGCAACTTCTGGGTTTTCTGATGAGAAGAGTATCAACAGTTTGACTACCAACAGATGCCTCCGAAGCCCTCAGAGATAGTTCTTTCTGGCAGTTTTACTGTTCAGCAAACATCAGCACTGCACTGATCCAAATATTGATTTTGAAATGGTAGATTTACAGTAATGGATCAAGACAGGAAGGCACAAGGAGCTTGTCTTGACTGAATCTATAATGGAACATCAGGCTTTTAGCAGATATTTATTTACAGCTCTAGAATTGCTGTAGGTATCTGATAAGCACTCTCCTGTTATCTTTGGATACTTAAGAGTCATTTCTTCTTTCCACTTGAATATTAAATGCATCTGTACAGCCAACAGTCCTAGAAAATGCCACTATTGATCCATCAGGGAAAAAGCCACTGCTTTCTGTGGCTCAGTGGATTATCCAGATGCTCAGGCTCACTTCAGAATGCCTCATGTCTGTTCTTACAGCTGTTGCAGATCATGTCTGGTCAGTTTTCATATGAGACCTCTGCGGAAAATAAGTTGCACTTGAAGAGCTGGTAGCCCTTTCAATTTTAGAACAACAAGTATACCGACTGCCTTGAGTGCAATAGTTTTTCTGTCTGTATGCAGATCTTGCAGAAACTCCAGGTTACTTGGTATCATAAAGCTTTTCACATACACGGAATGTATCTAGGCAGTCACCTACTCATTCACTTCATACCATACTATGTAAGATCCTTTCCTTTTATGAGACTTCGATGTAACCATTCAGTATCCTATTAATGATGTCTTCACAAATAACAGTTAACCCCATTTTAAAAATACTCTCACATTTTACAAACTTGTACAATCGTATGCCATTTAAAGAAGGGGCTTCGTAAACCAGAATTCAGTAGTTCTGTTCACAAATGAAGCTCACAAAAAAGTGTGTGTGGAATATAGTTTGGCTTCTTTCTTTGGTGCGGTAGGTAGACTACTTTTTCCTCAACATGGAATTTCTTACTTCCCTTTCCCTCTTTTCCATAGCCGACACAGAAGATGTATGCATCGTAGAGAGGCTGTTCTCCAGTAGCTTGGTGGCCATAGTTAGCCTCAAAGCCCCGCGCAAGCTGAAAGTGTGCCACTTTAAGAAGGGGACTGAGATTTGCAACTATAGCTATTCCAATACAATCTTGGCTGTCAAACTCAATAGACAGGTAAGTCATAATGTTTGTATGTGGGGCTCTCTCTTGACAGGCTGGAAGGATGGCACCTGCCAAGTACTGTTTCCCTCTGGTGCCAAAAAATAGTTTGAAACTGCTAATTTTATCTTTCCTGCTTCTAGCCCTGGAAGGGTATATGTAATTATCTTCTTAATTTGTGTGAAATTCTGCTGAGTATGAACATTGTCAGGCAACATCCCTCAGGGCATCCTTCTCAGTAATTGATTAAAGAACTATATAGAAGTTCCTTAAACTTAATGCTTTCTATATGAGATATACTGTGGAAGTTGGGAGCGTCTTTGTGGGTTTGAGGGCTGCATTAAGTTAGCAAATATATCATAAATACCAGGATGTGCAAGTAACCCAATTTGTTAGTTATTGCTAAGCCAGAAAGTAAATCTACGCTACAGGGACTCTACCAGCTTAGCTCACGGTGTAGATGCATACTATAGTAACTATACCAACAGAATATGGTTTTCCTGCATATGTAGGGGTTTTCCTGCATATGTAGAAACAAACCCTTCAACATAGCTACCTTAGTTTGGTGAAAGATGCCTTCTGCCAACATAGCTGCATCTACCCTAGGGGTTTTGTCACTATAGCTAAGTCAGTGAAAGGGTGTATTTTTTTAACACCTTTGATTAATGTAGCTATATGCCTGTAACTTTTCAGTATAGAACAGTATTGTAAAGAGATGTAGGTTGTCTCAGCTTAATGTTAATTCTTCCCATCAACTCAGAAGTGGCTAGGACTGAATTGGGCAAGGACTGTCTACCTTTGTGTTTGAAAATTGTCTTTTGGACACCGGTTGTAGTAGTCTGTAAGAAATTGTACAAATACCTTTCAATATATTTAATTTTGTCTTTGTATTTTTCTCTCCCCTTTTTCTAGAGGTTGATAGTATGCCTAGAAGAGTCTCTGTACATACATAACATACGAGACATGAAGGTGCTGCATACAATCAGGGAAACACCCCCCAATCCTGCTGGTAAATATCTAGCTAGGGACACACTTAATTTAAGATACATATGAACTGTATAGTCTCTTTCACTGTGTGCAACTATGTTTCTTGTAGGAAATTGTGTAGAGTGCTCATTAATAGCATCTTTATTCCCACTGCAAATTGGGAGTTAGCTTTTAAATCCTGAACTATGTTCAGTTTCATAGGGTGTTGAGCCAGCCCAGTGACACTAGATGGATTAATTTCTCGGCTCTCTTGTGTGAAACTTTTTTAAAGTAACTTCTTTTCCTGATTTGGTGAAAAAATTTCCTACGGGTATAATTCAGAGTTAGTCATCTTTGAAGAGTTAAGAAGCCATAATGAGCATGATGTCACCAGAATCTACATTGTAACATTGCAAAATATATCCATTGGAATAATGTTTTAGGAATCACTAACTGTGAACCCAGAAAATTTTTGGCTCTTCTTCACAGTTTGTCCCTTTTGCATTACTATTTCTGTTTTAAAATTAGATCACTTTTTTTTTTAAACTGATGGCTGCTGGTCTTAAAATTGTTCAGCCTTTACCCCATTTAAGTTCCTTCTGACTGGATGTGAGTTAAGTTTTGATATTTTGTAGCTGGATCTGCATAGAAAATTAAACCTCTGATGGGTATGTTTTGGACTCTGCCTCTTCAATCCTTTTTTGCTTATCCTTCATAGGGTTGTGCGCCTTGTCAATAAACAATGACAACTGCTATCTGGCCTACCCAGGAAGTGCAACCATCGGAGAGGTGCAAGTCTTTGACACCATCAATCTGGTGAGAAACCTTGTCAGTGCTACTGGCATTTTTTAAAGTTATGTCTTTTGTGAAATGTGGCTTATTAGACTCAAAGAGGAGTTAATAGAAACTCAAATTACTTCAGATCATTATTGTGGGAGGAGGTCTCTAATGTAGTTGGTCCACTACTGAAGCTGGACAGAAAGCAGCAGAATATAGTAAAAGTATAATACTACATGTGACTAGTAGATAGGGTTGAGCATTCTAGATACAAAACAAACAAGAAAGATTTTTCTAGGGCTCTCAATTTCTATCACAGTTGTAGCACGCGATTAGTACAAAGCCAATTAACTCACTTTAAAATGGTCAGGATTAATTGCACTGTTGAACAAAAATAGAATACTATTTTGATGTTTTTACTAATAAACTGAAGTTAGTTACACATTTCCAACTATACTGATTTCAGTTACAACTAGGGATGTTAAAATGTGTACATGTTTACATGTGGCAGGAGGAGAGGTGGGAACGGTGCTTGTGGGGAGCTTGTGGGGAGCCAGTTTGTCAGCTCCCCGCGAGCTCCAGTTCCCACCGAGTCCCCCTATCACCTGCACTGCTGCTTCTGTATCAGTCAGCAGTGCGGGTCAAGGGACTCCATAGTGTATCAGCTCTCATCTGCACTCCTCCCCTCCCTCCTGCTTCCCAGGCTCATTGATTAACCGAGTACACATTCACACCCTTAATTAATTACAACACAGACTACAAAGTGTACAGTGCTTTCTTTATATTTTTATTACAAATATTTGCACTGTAAAAAAGAAATAGAATTTTTCAGTTCTCCTCATACAAGTCCACTCGGTTCTACTTCTTTTTCAGCCAATCACTAAGAAAAACAAGCTTGTTTACATTTATGGGAGATAATGCTGCCTGCTTCATACTTAGTGTTGCCTGAAAGGGAAAATAGGTATTTGCATGTCTCTCTTGTAGCCAGTGTTGCAAGGTATTTACATGCCAGATCTACTAAACATTTGTATGCCCCTTCAAGCTTCAGTTTGTAGTCTCTAAAATTTTACATTGTTTTTAAATGCAGTTATGTAAAAAAAACTTGTATGAGGTGAGGATGTGAATACCCATTTAAAAAGTTAATTGTATAATTTTGATTATTTAAGCGGTTAGCTATGGAGGGATATGGGGTCCTGCCATGCTACAGGCAGGGGTCTTCTCCACGTGGGGTCTGGCCCTCCAGTTAACAGATTACTGGGTAAGCATGCAAGTAAGGCTAATGCTTAACCTTTTATATCCCTAGTATGAGGTAAAATGAAAAATGCTGTTTTTGTGTTCTTGCTGTTTCCCCTTGTGTCCTTCCTCAGCAGTTGCCTGTGTGAGAAGCCCTAGATATCTTTTCCTTAAGATATGCCAATCATTTTTATGAATGGTGATGTTAATGTTTTAGTGAAATTGTACCTTACCAGGGCTAAAACAGTTAATCTTCGTTTGTTTGGGTTCTCTTAAAAATCCAGCTTTGCATTTTTTTTTGTTTTGATTTTACTGAATTCTGTATTTTATTGGCTTATTCTTGCAGAGGGCTGCTAATATGATCCCAGCTCATGATAGTCCCTTGGCTGCATTGGCTTTTGATGCAAATGGCACTAAGCTTGCCACGGCATCAGAAAAGGTAAGTTTTGATTAGCTTGTGACTATGTGGACCAAAATTAAGCTTACTTTGTAGTGTTTCAGAGTATCTTAAATGTTTCACAAATACTAAAAAGAGAGGTTAGCTAGCAAAATTAAAACCCTTAATTAGGAGCTACTGATATTAGTGGATATTTGGTAACAAGACTTTTTAAATTACTACATTATATCTAATTGTTTATAGTCAGGACTTCCCCCATCAGTGATGAAGAATATTGGAAGGTTAGCTAGCTTGCGTATTATTAAGCAAGAAGAATAAAAAACAGAAGCAAGACAGTAAAAGTCATAGTGGAATAGAGAGAAATGACTAGCCTTTATCTGGCACAGACTGCCAACTTCTGTCTGATTTGTACAAATCAGCACTCTCTTTCAGAACTGAAGTGCATGCCATTTTCTCTACTTCTTTTTAGACAGTTCCATGCCTAAGAGGTGTGGTGTTAGTTGCATTTCCTTTCAACAAGGAAAATAAATACTGTTATAATTATTCTCAGAAAGGGAAAAGGCTCCTCCTTCATGCATAACTTCCTTCCCTTTAACTTTGTAAATCAGCTATTAATCCCATCCTCTTTCTGCTTTTCTCACCTTCTAAAAATAAACGCTAAGAATAAATGCAACTAGCTTATGTTGGGTGACTCTTATCTGGTGTGCAGCAATTGTGACAAGAATTGCAAAGTATGAACTGCTTGTGATGGTACTCTTATCTTTGTGAACATTGACTAGAGTGAGAGCCACAAAGCAGGTACTTAAATTGAGGAATGAGGCTTGGTTTTTTTCTTCATAGGGTACAGTGATCCGAGTATTTTCCATTCCAGAGGGACAGAAACTCTTTGAATTCCGAAGGGGAGTGAAGAGGTGAAGTTCAAAAACGCTCATTCTCTGAAGCTTGTTCTTTGTGGTAGATTTCCAATGTATTCTGTAGTTGACCTTTTGTATAGCCATGAGTCATAGTAACTGAAGTAAGTTTATACTACAGTACAATTGATCCTGGATCCCTTAAAGTTACAGACCAGGTTTGTGAGAAAGCAAAAGAGAACTACAGAGGGCCATATTCTCTATGTGACTTTACCAACAGCCTGTCTGCTTTGCAGATCTCCTGAATAATTCTCGCTGTAAGACACTCCAGCACACCGGCAGACTGTATCAATATACATCAAGTTCTGCCTGCTATAGCACTGCTGCTTGTGGGATAGTGATGTTGGTGTTGGGAAAGATATCTTTCCTGTTCAAGATTTGTGACGTTTAGTTCTGATGCCTGAGCTAAGGAAGAGCTTTAGAGATTTTATGCTGATGTAGCTGTCCAAAACTGGGTTCATTCATTGTACTCATGTACCATATCATTTAGACAGCTGTATTAGTATTATACACTGATGATGTTGCTGATTATTGGCTAGTATATCAAGAAATGCTAATTGTAGTTGTAAGGAGGAAGAATGCTGTTCTGAATTTTAGGATGATTTCTAACCAGCTCCTTTCCCTGGCTCCCCACCATCCCAGTCCAAACATAAAAGAAGTTCAGATTGAGCCAGATGTTCTCCTGTTGAATGAAGGAAATGGGAAACAAAAAATGTCTCGCTCTTACAGTTTCTCCTGATATATCAAGCCCTCCAAAAGCCTTTCAACAAAAAACAGAAATGAAGGCCTGACTTCTTCTAAAGTAGAAAAGCTTATTTTAAAAGCTTGAGGCAATAGAGAACATATGTGATAGACTTATAATAGGGAGAGGGAAAGGGAGCAAAACAGAAGTCTTGAAGTACACTTTTGAAAAAATGGCATATATACGGTTATATTTACTTCATTATAAAGCATCCAAAGCTATTTTGCATT